TCTCCTCCCCCTTCCCCCCTCCCCATCCTCCTCCTGCCTCTTCTTCATGTGCACCTCCCCTTCTCCCTGGTCGGGGCAAGCAAGTCGTTTTTCCTCGGCGCCGTCGCCGCCTCGGCCAGCGCGCGCGCGCGCGTTCGCCGACGGCTCGATCGCGAAGCCTTTGGGGCAATCCCGCGGGCCATGTCTTTGGGACAACCCCGCGGGCCGTTGGGGCGCGGGGGCAGGCCGTCGGGGCAACCCCGCGGGCCAGGCCGTTGGGACAACCCCGCGGGCCTCGAGGTGGGCGCGGCCGCGCGCAGGCGGGGGGCAGCGCGAAACCCAGCCGTGCTGCGAGCTGTTCCGCAGCGGTTTTATGACTCTCCGCTATCTCGTCGAGCTTCCGGAGCTCCTTCCGCAAGGCCAGCGGCGGCTTGCGCTCCAGGACTTTTCGCGTGGGCGGCCGCGGGATCAGCATGTTCCGCATGCGCGTGGCCGCGTGGCGCGGCAGAACATGTAGAGGTGCAGCCACCACTGCTCGTCCGACATGCCCGTGAGACCAGCGTCTTCCTCCCTGCTGCAGTTGATGGTGGCGCCCTTGCGCAGCGTCTGGCCCTGCGACAGCGTGGGGATCATATACGACGCGTGCGTCAGGGTGAAACCCGATTCGCGCACGACGTGCGGCCCCCAGTTCTGCCAGGTGAACTCCCGTTCGCCGGGCCTGAGCATCAGCGAGCTCCTCGCCCGCGCCTCGGCCTCGCCGTCGTCGTCAGCGCCTTTGGCGCCCTGTAGCAGCACTTCAGCGACCTCCACGTAGATTGGCGGCTAGAACCGTGCACCTGCAGCCAGATTCCTTGCGGTAGGTAGCGGAGGCGAAAAGAAAAAACTGGCCCGGCGCGCGCTCCTCGTACTCTCGCTCGTCGTCTGGGTGACATTCGAAGGAAACGATGGTGGCCCGTTGCTCTTGCACGAGCCCCAACTTCTTCTTCAGTTCCTCGTGCACGGCCGTGACCCGAATTTCCATGCCGACGCGTGCCAGTGCGATGCCTTTGTTCCCCATTTTGTGCATGTTCGGGACGTTCAGGGAACGCCAGCCCGTGTCTGGGTCGCCGCGAATCGCGTTGCACTCGTCAACGGCTGCAGGAAAACGAGGGGCACGCCCAGACGCCGCGCGTCGCGACGAGCACGCGTGTTGATGCACGTTGCGAGCGTCTCCCAGTAGATAGCCCATGCCGTAGCCGAGCCGAAAGTTCTCGTGCTGGTGCCGAGGGTCCAGGACGCCGTGGTTGTCCGAGGCCAGCGTTTTACCCCTGACAAGCCAGACGTCTGGTGGGAAGGGCTTGCCTTCGCGCGTGCAGCCCAAGAGCGCGATCAGAGGGTCCCCGGGCTCGAAGCTCTTTGTGCCCTTCAGTTCGAAGCGCTTCGAAGCCCAAAAGTGGCGACATATTTAGGTTGTGCATGACCCGCTCGCATTGCCAATATGCAGCGCGGGCTCCATAAAGAAAGTGGCTCCCGCCTGAGACTTCTTCGCAATTTGATGGCCCGCTCGCATTTCCAACGTGAAGTTCGGGCTCGATATGGAGGGGCCCACTTCTTGAGATTTCTTCGTATTTAACTCACAAGCAAGGCTCCCGCCTGAAGTTTTTGTTTGTTTGTTTGTTTGTTTGTTTATTTTTCGTTCTCTTTCACATACATACATATAAACACAAAAAGAAACAACTATTTAGCATCATAATTATTCCTCTTCCTTCCCCCCTCAAACTTCAGGCGTGATGGGCTAAGGGCCCAAAATTGACGACAGCGTCAGGATTTGGATGGCCCGCTCGGGTTGAAACGTGATGTGCGGGCCCCACAGGGGAGAGGCCTCCGCTTGAGATATGGGGATCCCTGTCTTAGACTTCTTCGCAATTCACTAACAGACGAGGCTCCCACCTTAGACTTCCTCAAGATGAATGTATGAGTGTGTGGTTGTGTGAGTATGTTTGTGTGTGAGTGTGAATGAGTGTGGGAGTGATGCCGATGATGGTGGTGATGATGATGTTTGAGTGAGTGAATGAGTGAGTTAGGGGCGGAGTGCTGATGAAGGTGCTGCTGATGATGATGATGATGATGATGATGATGATGATGATTAGGATGAGTATGAATGTGTGAGTGTATGAGTGTATGAGTGACGAAGAGAGGGGGTGATGATGATGATGGTGGTGGTGATGATAGTACTGATGATGCTGCTGCAGCTGCTGCTGATGATGATGCTGATGATGATAATGCGGGTGGGTTTCTGTCCCTGTTCCTGCGCGGGGTGTCCAGAGGAAACAAGGGACCCACTTAGTATGTGGGGAAACAACGTTGGGGGATTCTTACGCTCTCAGCGCAGGCCGTATGCCTTTGTCTGTTTTTTTGTTTCCTGCCACTCTTTCCCTTGCCTTTCTTACCACCCTGTCCCTCTTTCCCTGTCTCTTTCTCTTTCCATCCTCCTCTCCTCCTGATCTTGTCTTGCGTGTCATGTCCTCTTTCCCATGTATTGTTATGTATGTATGTATGCATGCATGCATGCATGCATGTATGTATGCATGCATGCATGCATGCATGTATGGATGGATTGATGCAAGGATGGATGGAGGTATGTGTATGTATGTATGTATGTATGTCTGTATGTATGTATGTATGTATGCATGCATGCATGCATGCATGCATGCATACATGCATGCATGCATGCATGCATGCATGCATGCATGTATGTATGTATGTATGTATGTATGTATGTATGTATGTATGTATGTCTATATACACACATTAATTCACAAACATTCACCTTTCCTATACTTTAATAATCTGGGACCCTGCGATCCCCCCCCTGAGGGGGACCCCTCCGGATCTTTGCCCCCGGGGCCACCCTGGACGCCCTTGCAGACGGCCCCCTGTGCTTTCTTGGGCTCCTGAAGCCCCTGCTAGGCTTGGACAACGGGCCCGATTGCGTCAGAACGGCCCCGCGAGAGCCCAGATAAGCCCCAGACACCCACCAGACGCCCGAAGACGAGCCAAAGAAGGTCCCCAAGAGGAATTCGAAACGGAAAAAAAAAATGATTTCCTAGGTTTTTATAGGACTTTGGGACTTCTCAGTTCTTGGGTCTCCCTGGCGTCCGAGACCGCGCAGCAGGCAAGAGCATCGCCCCAAATTTAACCAAGAGGGCTTCCAGGCAGTCTTAGAGGAGCCCCAAGGCGGCTCAACAGGGCCCCAAGATACCCGAAGATGGCCCCATGACGGCGCAAGATGGCCCCAAGACGCTTCCCGAATCATTCCAAATCGTGACGTGGTCGTTCAGGGAGACCGCGGTTGGAAGCAGGATGGCCCGAGGAAGCTCCCAGAGGCCCTCAGAAGAAACCCAGGAGGCTTCAGAAGACCCCAACAAGTCCTTAGACATCTTCGTGAGACTTACAAGAGGCTCTCCTAGGATCACCTCCCACAAAAAGAGCTGAGGATGGGGGCGAATTCGCAGGGTAGGGCAATACTGAGGAAGAGGAAGAGGAAACATGAGGAGGGGATAACGAATGACATTATTACAACGACGATGCCAGAAAAGGCAACAACATGTTTTTGCTGAATGTTCAGTTTTACCAGATTGCCTTCCTGCCTGCATGCCAAACCTCAAGGACCAAAGTGCATGGCGCGAAGCGCCAAAGCAGTCTTGTAAATCTGTGTATTGTAGTGGCCTCTGGCCAGTGCCGCCGATCCGGGGCGCTCCCGATGCTGATGGGAATGGATGACCGCGTATGCTGAAGATACAGACCTCGTTCGTGACATCTTCATAAGATGAACACGTGGAAATCGGTTGCGAAACTTTTGGATCTTCGAAAATGACGCTCTGGCGTGAGTAACCATTAAAACAATGAAATGCGGAAATAGCTGTTGCACGCCATCTTTGGGGGGCGCTCTTGGAGGACCCCCCTGCAGAGAAAACTTCCTTCCCGTTGCCGAGCAATTAATGGCGTCGGGAATGGCGCCCCCCCCCCCCCCCGCCCCCTGCACAGCGCTCAAGTCCACGGCTCCCGAGCACTGAATGGCGTCGGGAATGGCCCCCCCCCTCCCCCGTCCCCCCCTTGCAGATCGAACACCCGGCTCCCGAGCACTGAATGGCGTCGGGAATGGCGTCGGGAATGGCGCCCCCCTCCCCCCTTGCAGAGCGAACTCCCCCCCCGGCTCCCGAGCACTGAATGGCGTCGGGAATGGCGTCGGGAATGGCGCCCCCACCCTCCCCCCTTGCAGAGCGAACCCCCCCCGGGCTGCCGAGCACTGAATGGCGTCGGGAATGGCGTCGGGAATGGCGCCCCCCCCCCTGCAGAGCGAAGCTTGAGCGAGCTCAAGTCGACGCTCTCAGAAAAGCCCACACGCCCGATCGGCGGATTTATTTCAGGAGGGAAAGAAACACAGACACAATTAATCGTCGACACCCAGGAAAATGTAGGAAAATATGGGAAGTGGGGGGGGAGGACAGAAACCCAGAACATGCGTAAAAAATTGAGATTCCTGTTATTTATGTGTGTATTTATTTGTGTGTTTGTGGGCCCCTTCATTATTATAGAATACGCATGTCATTTGGCCAGTCGAGTATTCATGTGCCCCATCCTTTTCCCTCGTTCTGCATCCAGCCTTCGCCCCTCCCTCGCCCGCTTTTTTCCCCCCTCCCCATCCTCTCTCGTTGCTCCTCGAGTAGGTGCTTCCTCCTCCTATGGTCACTCTGACTTCCCTGCCCCTCCTTCCTCTTCTGTTTGGCCTTCTGCCCTCCTGGTTCCTCTCTGCACTCCTCTGCATTCTCTGTTCCGATGGCAGCCTGGGCGCATGTATGCACGCAATCGGTTGATGCACAAAAGGTTTGGGCTCGTTTTCAGCAGTCTTATTGCTGTGTGCACACGTGAGGAGGATCACGCACTTTCTTGGATTGCTTGCCTAAGACGTTTCTGCAGCAGGTTTCTGCGTGTGCAGTTCTCACTCCCTGTACTGCTTGCATCGAATAGAGTGCGGGAAGGTTGCCCGAATATGGCGTGTATTGACTTGTAGTTCGGACGCAACGCCGTTCTTCAAAGGTCTTCTTTTCGGAAGGGATCGGGCAGGCGCACGGACACGTACGTCTGTCACATGTATACACAGATGTATTCAGGGTAAGGGTATGAGAGCAGTTGCGGAGTGCATCCATTGCATGCTGTGGGTATCTCAAAGACGCTGAAGTGAACGATGGTTTCGAATCGATGCGCCTGTATCTGTATAATACTCGTCTAGTGATACACGCAATGCGGAGCGATTGTCGAGCGTGCTGGTGGTGGTGGTGGTGGTGGTGGTGGTGTAGTTGGATCTGCGCGGGGCGAATGCACTTCCGTACGAGGGCAGACGACGTAATCTCTGAGATTGTCGAGGAAGTTTTGAAGTTCACAAGCGAGCTGAACGATCTCAGACGTGGAGTTCGCTTGAAGCGGCGAGCCGAATACCCAGCGTTTGTTGCGCTTCAGGGTCTGTGCGAGAGAGCCACCCCTGAAGCGACGGGCGTCACGCAGGCCAGCCCGAGGCGCTCGCAGAACAGCGGGGCGGCTGAGGCCGCCGGGCGGGCGCGGCAGCATCGAGCGTGGTGCGGTGCCGCGCCAGGGGGAGTGCAGCGAGAAGCTGACGGGGCACAGGGTGCTATCTGGCTCTGGCCGCGGGCGCACGCCGCTGCGGTGGCCAACGCTTTCCGTCGGCGCGCCGACCGGGCGATCGGCTCGGAAGCGGCGTTCAGGTGCGGCTGCGTCGGCGAGGTGCTGCCCTGCGGCGGGACGTGCCGGTGTAAGGTCCCCGCGTCTCGCGCGAGGCGTACCGCGCAGGGTGCACGCTTCTCGTCGGCGTCGCAGTCGTCAGTATTGCCGGACATGAGTGTACTGAGGGAGGGAGAGGAAGCATTTTGGTGAGCGCTCGGACAGGATGGTGCATCGAACTCGTAAGTTTTGCTTGCCTCACTCACTTCCTCTGTCGCACCTCCTCTCATCTTCGTCGCCCTCAATCCACCCGTTTGCTTGTCCATGTTTTGTAAAGCTTAGCACATGTCGGCGTCTGTGCTTTCCAATACTCAGGCGCTCTCGTGCGTTATCCCCCTGCTTCCCTTTGGACTGTGGCGGGGAGATGAACTCTGTTTTTGTGATGGGGTGCAAACAGGAACTACGAGTCGTCGACGTTTTGCAAACGTTTAGTGTCATGGGGAGGCTGTGTAAATCATTGGCAGTCGTGCTTCCAGTTTTTTTTCAGATGTCGCTCGATCGCGAACAGTTTCGAGCGAGTCGCGCTCATCCGAGCTCCCCTGCGAGTGGGGCTTCGGTGGCGCGAGGGCCAAGCAGAGCAGCGGCACGCGTGCGCAGGGGCGCAGCGGGGCTGCAGGCGTGCGATCCGCTGGCTTCATCTGGGCCATCATTCTGGCGGCGCCCTCGGACCACGCGCGGCTCTGCAGAATCTCTCCGCCAGACCCGCTCTGCCCTTGGAAGTCACCGCCCACCAAGCCACCCCAGCCCAACCCGAAGGCTCCAATGTACCCTCGATTCCCAGTGGGGGGGAGGGTCGGGGAACATGGAAAGGACATGTGTGAAGCTCGTGCAGTGGGGGCCCATGCTAGGAAACACCCTGCTCGGCTCCAGGGCGCCCTGGCTTTCTTGGGTTTCGATGGTTTTGCCACGGAAAGCGCGACGTTCCCACGCCAAAAATCCATGGACGTCCTGGGGTCTCAGGGTTGGTCTTCGTGTGGGCTGGCCTCCACTGCCTCTCCCAGGAGGAGGACTAGGAGGAGGAGGAGGAGGAGGAGGAGGAGGAGGAGGAGGAGGAGGAGGAGGAGGAGGGAGGAGGAGGAGGGGCAGGAGGAGGAGGAGGAGGAGGAGGAGGAGGAGGAGGAGGGCCCTCGGGTCAGGTTGGGGTGGCCTGGCATGTCGTCAGGAAGGTCGCGGAGCGAGGACGCGCTCCGCGCGCGAAAGGGCCGTCCCCGGCTCCCGGGCAGTGACGGAGGCACAGGGGAGCTGGAAGAAGTGGCCGCCTCCTCCTCCCCCTCCCCCTCCTCCTCCCCCTCCCCCTCCTCCTCCTCCTCCTCCCTCCTCCCCCCTCCTCCTCCTCCCTCCTCTCCTCTCCTCCTCCTCCTCCTCCTCCTCCTCCTCCTCCCCCTCCCTCCTGCTCCTCCTCCTCCTCCTGCTCCTCCTCCTCCTCCTCCTCCTCCTGCTCCTCCTCCTCCTCCTCCTCCTCCTCCTCCTCCTCCTCCTCTCACCAGCCCTGGCCAGCTTATTTCCAGGCTATGAGAGCGCTGGCCGCCGCACTCCGGATGCCTCAGGCTCGTTGCGGCCCCGGCCAGCTGTGCCTGCCAGCCCTGGCCACCTCCGCTTTCTCTATCCTCCGCAGCCTCTCGGCGGCGAGCCACGGGGGGAAGGCAGAGGGGGCGGGCCTTCTCACAAGTCTGGATGCCCGAAATGGGTGCGGACAGAATGGGTACAATGCCCAACAGCAGTTCCTGTTCGTTTTGAGCAGGGCTCGCTGTCCGCGCCGCCGCGGCCTGTGTCCATTCGAGACAGAGGGCCGCCTGCCCAACAGCGGCCGCTGTTGGTTTGGGACAACATTTGCTGTTGGGCATTGTGCCCATTTTGTTCGGTACCCATTTCGGGCGTCCAAAACAAGGCTCGGCAGGCCTCCCGCCTTCCGGGCAGTTCTCACGAGCCCTCCCCGGAGTCGGGCCGGGCGAAAGGGGGGGGATAGGGAAAGGGGGCGGGGTAGGAAACCTGCTGCATGCAGCTGGTCTCGGCCCCGCCGAGGGGCCCCTTCCTCGACACCTGCGCGCCTTCCGGGCGCCGGGAGGCGCCGGGGAAAGCAGCTGCGTGAGCTGATTCTCCCCCCCCCCCCCCCTTGCTATCCCCCCCCTCTCGCCCGGGCCGACGGAGGCAGAGGGGGCGGCTGCCCAGGAGGCGCGCGGGGGATGCCGAGAGGAGGCGCGCCGCCTTCTGACGGGGCCTGCCTCCTCTCGCCTCCCCCCGCGGGCTCGCCGCCGAACTTCGCCCACCGGTTCCGCACCCCCGGGCTCCGCTTCTTCCCCTGAGGCGGGGGGCGGCTCGAGGTCTCCCGGCCCTGCCGCGGCCCCGGGGGCGCCCAGGAGCGGGGCGAGGGCCACGGGCGCGCGGGCAGCACGGCCAGGGCCACGATTACCTCACCGATATCGTGTCCCCCTCTTCCTCGTCCTCTGCCTCGTCCTCTGCCTCTGCCTCTTCCTCTTCTTCCTCTTCTTATCATTCCTCTTCCTTCTCCTCTTCTTCTTCTTCTTCTTCATCATCTCTTCTTCTTCATCTTCTTTTTCTTCGCCCTCTTCTTCTTCTTCGTCGTCTTCTTCTTCTTCGTCTTCTTCTTCTTCTTCTTCTTCTTCTTCTTCCAACACGTCCCCTGGGGCCCCCCTTTTGCCGCGCACGTGCCCTGGGTCGTGGAGCGCACCCCCTCCTCTGCCTGCCCCCCCCTCCTGGGCGCAGCGCACCCGAGTGGGCCCCCTCCCCTGCGTGTGGGCCGGGCCCCGAGGGCTCGGGGGTCCTCGGGAGCCTCGAGACGGGGGTCAGTGCAAACGGGGGTCAGCCAGAGCGCCAGGTCCTGCAGGATCCTGCGAAGACCCCCTCTGGCTGACCCGGGTCAGGGAGCCGCTCGTGGCCGCGAGGCGGCCGCGCCTATTGGCTGACCCGGGTTTGCGAAGACCTGCGTTGCAGCTTTTTTTTCCTGCATTGCAGTTTTTGGTTTCCCGCTGACCCGGGTCTGGATTGACCCGGGTCAGAAGATCCCCGGGGTCCTGTCGGCGCCCTCCACCAGCCGAGAGGGAGTCGCAACCTGCCCCTGCTCAGGAGGGGCAAGAAAACACACAGACACAATGAATCGCCGATTCCCCAGAAGATATTGGGAAATGTGGGAAGTGGGGGGGGAAGGCGAGAACCCAGAAAACATGGGAAGACATTGGGAATCCTGGGATTTGTGTGTATTTATTTGTGCGTCACTGGGCATCCTCACCTGCCCCTGCCGAGAATGAGTCGCCACTTGTCCGCTCGAGCGGCGCAGACATCGGCCACGCGCAGATGGGGGCAGGGGGAGGAGGGAAGGCTCCTTCGAAGCACCCCTGCTTCTCAGAGGGCGCGGGCCTTCTCTGTAGATGTAGGGCCGGCGCCTTCTAAGACGCGGTCTCCTTCTAAGAAGCCTTCCCTCCTCCCCTACCCCCTTGTGCGCGCCGCCAAAGAACAACGGGCTCGACTGTGC